AATCAGGAAGGGCGTGTACCAGGGTTGTATCCTTTCAACACCCTTGTTAATGTATATGCAGAGTGAATAATATGAGAAGCTGGATTATATGAAGAAGAACATAGCATCAGGATAGGAGGAAGACTCATTAACAACCTGTGATAGGCAGTTGATACAACCTTGCTTTTGCTGAAAGTAAAGAGGACTTAAAATACTTACTGTGAAGGTCAAAGACTACAGTCCTTTGTATGGATTACACCTCAGTGTAAAGAAAACAAAAATCCTCATAACTCTATCAATAAATAATGTCATGATAAATGGAGAAAAGATTGAAGTTGTCAAAGACTTCACTTTGCTTGGATCCATCATCCAACACTCATGGAAGCAACAGTCAAGAAATCAGGCAGATCTGCTCCAAATTACCTCTTTAAAGTGATCAATAGCAAAGGTATCACTTTGAGAACTATAGTGCACCTGACCCAAGCCATGGCATTTTCAGTTGCTTCATTTGCATGTGAAAGTTAGACAATGAATAAGGAAGACTTTAGTATAATCAATACATTTGAATTATGCTGTGGAGAAGAACACTGAAAGTACCAGGAGAACAAACAAATATGTTTAGGTAGAAGTGTTACCAGAATGCTCCTCGTAGACTTGGGTGATGAGACTTCACAAAGTATTACCAGGAGGGACCATTCTCTGGAGAAAGACATCATGCTTGGTAAAATGGAGGGTCAGTGACAAAGACGAAGATCCCCAATGCGATGGATTGACCCCATGGCAGTACCAATGGACTCAAACATAGCAACAATTGTGAGGATGGCTCACAACCATGCAACATTTTGTTCTGTTGTTCATAGGGATGTTATGAGTCGGAACCGACTCTACAGCACCTAACAAGTACATTTTGTTTCAAAAGGGTGCTTCCTACTTATTTATTCATTTATTTTAAAAAGTTAATTGAGAACTTGCTCGGTTCTGTTATTGTTGTTAAATGCCGCCCCGTTTTGCAATTCATAGTGACTCTCTATAGCATTTCCCAGTAGTGGCTGGTGGGTCTGAACTGCCGAACTTGCTGTTTAAACCAACTTTACAGTCCAGTGCTTGTCCTACAGTGCCACACCAGGACTCCTACTAGATTCTAGGCAGATGTAAACATTTGGCAGATTTCTTTTCTTTATGGATGTTGATGGGGATGTTGATGGTGAGATAGACAAGAAAACATGTACAAATAGATAACTTCGGATATTTGTGAATCCTACAAAGAAGCTTAAGCATTAATGGGGTATAGGTAGAGGTGTCTCTTTTAAGCTAGGATAGTCATAGGATAACATTTGTGCTGAGATCTGAATGATGAGAGAAGTCATCATGTGAAGACCTGGGAAGAAAAATGTTCTGATCTGTGGGAACAATAAATTGAAAGTAGATCTCCTGTTTGAGGAGCAGTAAGGTGGTCAGTACGAGTTTAGGGAATAAGGGAGAGAATTATAGTGAGAACCTTGGAAAATAATTTTTTCTTTCTTTCTTAATGTGATAATAATCCATTAGAAGATTTAATCAGGGGTATTATGTAATCAGATTAATGCTCTAAAAAGTTTACTCTGGTGGCTCTGCAGAAAAACAGCTTAGACAACTGTTAGGGTTGTTGAAGTTGATTGTGTCTTGGATCAAATTGGTGACTGTACACAGAGATAAGTGAAAGCGACAAAATGGAGAACTAGCTAACAGGATTAACTGATCTCATATGAAAAGGCTGAGGGAAAAACATTACCAAAAAAGACTCCTAGAAACTTGCTGTGAAAATGGAATAGAAGATGGTCTGAGTAACTGAGATGGGCTAAACTGGAGGGGACTGTGATTTTTGATGGTGGTTGAGGAGTTGTCAGACAAGTTCTCTGGCCTCATCCGTTTGAATAGGAGAGTTCTGGGCTAGAAATTTTTTGTGTGTAGTGTGTTTGTATTTGTTGTTAAGTGCTGTTGAGTCAGTTTGAACTCTTAGTGATCCTATATAGGGTTTCCTAGGAGCAGCTGGAACCGCCAACCTTGTGGTTCAAACTGACCTTTCAGTTCAGCGTATTAACCCACAGCACCACACCAGGACTCCATGTTTGTAATTTGGAGATATAGAACATTTATATATATTGTGTGTGAGTGTGTGTGTAAAATTAGTGTAGCGTATGATGACTTGGAAGGCTAGAGAAGAAAATATTTTAGGGAGGAAGTTTTGTCATAAATTTATGTCATAAATTCCTGAGATTGAAGTTGTCAAGGACTTCATTCTTCTTGGACTAACTATCAACACTCATGGAAGCAGCAGTCAAGAAATCAAACGATGAATTGCATTAGGCACATCTGCCGCACAAGAGCTTTATAAAGTGTTAAAGAGCAAAGATGTCATCTTGAAGACTAAGGTGCACTTGACTCAAGCCATGATATTTTCAATAACCTCATATGGATGCGAAAGCTGACAGTGTATAAGGGAGATCATAGAAGAATTGATGCTTTTGAGTTATGGTGTTGGAGGAGAATATTGAAAGTGCCATGGGCTGCCAAAAGAACCAATAGATCTGTGTTGGAAGACGTGCAGCCAGAGTGCTCCTTAGAGGCCAGGATGGCCGAACTTTGTCTCTCATACTTCAGACATATTGTCAGGAGGGACCAGTCGCTGGAGAAGGATATCATGTTTGGTAGGGTGGAGGGTCAGAAAAAGAGGAAGACCCCCAGCAAGATGGATTGGCAAAGTGGCATCATCAATGGGCTCAAGCGTGGCAGTTATGGTTAGGTTGTCCCAGGATCGGGCAATATTTCGTTCTTCTGTGCATAATGTTGCTATGAGTTGGTACCGACTCGATGGCATCTAACAACAACAACAACAACATGTAATTAATTACCTAGTGTAATTAGTGCCATTAGTGGGAAATAATAGTATGTTATAGATAGAGTAGCAAGAGAATCTTTAATTAATTGGAAGGTTTGCAGAAACTGTTGCTCTGAAGAAGTGGTTTATAAGCTGAGCCTTGAAGGAATAGTAAAAGTTTATCAAGTAGGAGGGAGCACTGGTGGAGCGATGGTTAAGTGCTTGGCTGCTCAATGAAGTAAGTGATTCAAACCCAGCAGCTGACCTGCTTCTGTAATAGTTAAACCAAAAACTGAACTCATTGCCATTGAGTCTGTTCTGATTAATATCAACCCTTTATAGGGTTTCTGAGTCTATAAATCTTAATGGCACAGAGAGCCTCATTTCTCCTGTAGAGCAGCTGGTGGTCTTGAGCTGCCAACCTTGTGTTTAGCAGCCCAATGCTTAGCCCACATTGCCACCAGGGCTCCTTCTGTGATGATTGCTGTATTAGAAATGTGGTAATTCTCGTGTATCCTATAGGATCACTATGAGTTTGATCACCTTGATATCATTGTTGTTATTGTTGTTGTTATGTGCCATGGAGTCGGTTCCGACTCATAGTGACCCTGTACAGGGTTTCCGAGCCTTTGAATCTTTACGGGAACAGAAAGCCTCATCTTTCTCCCGCGGAATGGCTGATAGTTTCAAACTGCTGACCCTGAGGTTAGCAGCCCAATTCATAACCACTATGCTACCAGAGCTCCTTGATATATCATAGGGGTTTGATTATCCAGTAGGAACCTTAGAGTTGTTAGGTGACATCAAGTTGGTGCCAAGTCATAGAGACCCTGTGTACAACAGAACGAAACACTGCCTGGTTCTGGGCCAACCTCACAGTTGTTGCTGGGCTTGAGCTCATTGATGCTGCCACTTTGCCAGTTCATCCTGCTGGGGGCCTTCCTGTTTTTCTCTGACCCTCCACCTTACCAAACATGATATCTTTCTCCAGTGACTGGTCCTTCCTGACAATATGTCAGAAGTATGAGAGACTAAATCTGGCCATCTTGGTCTCCAAGGAGCACTCTGGCTGCACTTCTTCCAACACAGATCTGTTTGTTCTTTTAGAAGCCCATGGTACTTTCAATATTCTCCTCCAACACCAAAATGTCAAATGCATCAAACCTTAGAGGAGGGGTTGGTTTTTCTAGGCAAGAGTTGGTTATTCTATTCTGTGGCAGAAAGCCGGGAGCCAGAAAAACAGCCTTAACAGGACTAAAGAGCCAGGACCTTGTAGCCCAAGCTCAGGTGTTTAACTCAATATAGGAGCGAAAGTTAGATCATGGATGGATTTGAAGTAGCGGAATAGTACAATACAATTTTCACTTTAAAAGAGCATTCAAACCTCTTTTATTTTATTTTATTTTTTTATAAAGGTTTTTAATGGTGGAGAGGGAGTAGGGGTCACAGTGGACAGGGACCTGCTCAGTCCTTCTTGGCAGCCGCTTTCCTCATGGTGTCCAGGATGTTGCTGAGCTTTTCTCTCTTCCTGTTGGTGTGGATGTGGGTCCCCACCCTTTTCTGGATGAAGTTGAGTGCCCGCTTGTCCTTAGAGACTTTGAGCAGTTCCATGGCCCGGCGCTCATAAGGCACAAAGACACACCCCTCCAATATCATGTCCCGCACGAACTTGGTGTGCTTGGCGAGGTGCCCATGGTGGTGGCTGTGCCTGGGCTTGCTCTCATTCTTGGTAACTTTGTGGCCCTTGTTGAGGCCAAAGGTCACAGGGTAGCACACAGCCATGGCTGCCTTTGTTCAATGGCTGCTGCGGCGGAAGGCTCAACCTCTTTTTAAAATTGTATAAAATACACATTATAACGTTTTTTAATTGCCCATTTAAATCATTTTAAGGCACACATTCCCTGGCATTAAACACATTTACAATGTTATACAAACATTATTACTATCTAGTTCCAGAACCTTTTCATCACACCACACCCCTGTGGAAACCTCTACCCACGGAGCAGCTGTGCCCCATTTCCTCTGACTTCTTTCGCGGAGCGTGGACTAGAGGGGAGATTAGATAGATGCTTTTGTAATGGTAATGTTTTTCATATTTTGTTTTTTCTGTTTTGAATCCTTGTCAATTTGTAAAGCTAAGATCAACTGCCCCCTGTTTTTCTAGGTGTTCTTCAGATGATGCAGACAAGAATTGGGGCCTTACAAGGAGCTGTTGATAGGTATTCATTGTTCATTTTGTAAAGAAATGCATTGGAATGATCTTAATCCCTGACTACTTTGAAATTGATTTTATTCTTACACTACTCCTCCCTCCTGTTTTTTTCTTTTAGGATGAAAGCAAAAATTGTTGAACCGTACAACAAAATAGTAGCCCGCACTGCACAACTAGCAAGACTTCAGGTGACTTCTCACTTTTAATTTCTTTGTACTTTATTATTTGTTTTGTTTTGATAGTAGGCAGATTTCAAGAATGTGAGTGATGAAGAAATAGGGAGTGGAAATGAAATATGACGGAAGAGGGAAAAAATACTAAACAGTCTTTGTCTTAGCCTGGGTTTTCTAGAGAAACAGTATATAGATGTTATTGTTAAGTACTGTCTAGTCAGTTCTAACTCATACTGACCCTGCATAAGGTTTCCAAGACTTTATATGTATGTTGTTATTGTTGTTAAGTGCCACAGAGTCAATTCTGACCCATAGCGACCCTGTATAGGGTTTCCAAGGAGCAGCTGGTGAACTTGAACCACCGACCTTGCAGTTCAAATGACTTTGCAGTCTGACACATTAGCCCACAGTGCACCAGCATTCCTTGCATGTATATGTGTGTGTGTGTATCTATCTTCTATCTATCTATCTATCTATCTATCTATCTATCTATCTATCTACTTGAAATTTGCCTACTTATCAAAATAAAACAAAAATAAAGTTAAAAGGAATTATTATATATATTATGGTGGTGTGTCGTAGAATCCATTCTGACTCATAGTGAACCTGTATAGGGTTTCCATGACTGTAAATCTTTACAGTAGCAGAAAGCCTCATCTTTCTCCTATGGAATGACTGGTAGTTTTGGACTGCTGCCCTTGAAGTTAACAGCTTGGCTTATAACCACTATGCTACCAGAGCTGTTGTTAGTACCGTCGAGCCAGTTCTGGCTCATAGCGACCCTGTATAGGGTTTCCAAGGAGCAGCTCGTGGGTTTGAACTGCTGACCTTGTGGTTCACTGTCCAGTGCTGATCCACAACACCACACTAGGAGTCTTTATATATAATATATATGTATGTGTTGTTGTTAAGTGCCGCTGAGTTGGTTTTGACTCATATAGACCATGTATAGGGTTCCAAGGAACGCCTGATGAGTTTGAACTGCTGATCTTGAAGTTCAAACTGACCTTGAGGTTGAGTGCTTATCCTATGGCACCACACCAGGACTCCTATGGGTTTGAACTACGGACCTTGTGGCTCACAGTCCAGTGCTGATCTCTAGAGTGCCATACCAGGAGTCCTTATATACAGTAAGTGCTATAGATAATTTTGGATCCTGGTGTGGCACTGCAGGTTAATGTGCTGAAGTGCAAGGTCAGTTTTAACTGCAAAGCTCAGCGGTTCAAGCTTACCACCTGCTTCTTAGAAATGCTATACAGAGTCACTATGAGTTGGAACATACTTGATGGCATTTAATAACAACAACAACAAAAATTTTATTTGCAATGTTTTTCCCTTTTTGAATTATTTTCCCAGTCAATTAGGTAACAGTGTAGTAGTTACAAGTTAGGCTGCTAATCTTAAAGTCAGCAGTTGAAACTATGAGCTGTTCCACAGGAGAAATGAGACTTTCTGCTCCCACAAAGATTTACAGCCTCGGTAACCCTGTGCAGGGTCGCTATGCGTCGGAACCGACTCCATGGCACATAACCATCACCATACCCCCTTTTGGATTCCTGGTGTGGCACTGTAGGATCAGCACTGGACTGCAAACCATGAGTTTGGCAGTTCAAACCTACCAGCTACTCCTAAGAAACCCTATTCAAGGTCACTATGAGTCAGAATCGACTCAATGGCTCTTAACAGCATCACCATGGCAGTGAATTAAAAATATCCCTGGGATTTGGTATCTATGTAAATTTTAGAAATGCTTAAAAAAAAAAAAAAAAAAAAAAAGGGGAAAAATAGTCCTTATTGTCAGAAAGTTTGCTTTATGATAAAAGGAAATAGGGGTGCAACTGATCAAATAAAATACTGAACCTATGAATTCTAAAATAAATAAAAGTTCCAAGGAGTATTCACAGGAGAGAGAATTATATGCAGTAGGAAATATTTTTAAATTCTCACGTTAGTGTTTTTGCACATTTTCAAAATATTTTGTAATTCCGTGTTCTTGCCTTTTAGTAGATTTCAACTGATAAGTCAAGTTTTCAGTGACGTTCTCTCTGTTCCTTCTGGTAAAAAGCAGAGTGTTTCTTTCTCTTTTTTGAGGGCTCTTTTAATATCTTATTACAAGCAGCCCAGCTTTACAGAGTAGAGCTGTTTTCAAGGCTCTGGCCTTCCAGAAGTAGGTCACCAGGCCTGTCTTTTGAGGTGCCTCTGAGTAAGTTAAGTTCTACAACCCACCTTTCAGCTAGTAGTTGAGCACGTAACCATTTGTGTCACCCAGGGACTTAACAAAACACTATAGAGCGGTTCTACTCTGACTCAGGGCCACCCTGACAGCAGTGGACAGTGACTTCTGTTGTAGCACGTTCTTCATACCCTTCCATTGTCATAGTCTATACACCTGAGCTTGCGTGAATAATTTCTTTTATAAAGATCAGCATGAGGCTGGTCCCTGTGAGGTGGAGGTTAAACATACCCCAGATGTCCCACGTTTCTGGCATGTTTTAGCATTCCATACTCCTGGCTATCAGTCACTATGTCTTCCCTTCCTCACATCCCAGGGTTCTGCAGTATGCTGCCATGTCTCCCAGAACTCAACAACTGTCAGAGGAAATGGCTCACACAGTTGTGGAAGTTGGCAAGTTCCAAATCCAAAGTTCAGAGGCCATTTGTTGTTAAGTGCCATTGAGTCAGTTCTTATGCATAGAAATCCTGTATAGGGTTCCCAAAGGGCAGCTGGTAGGTTTGAACTGCTAACCTTGTGTTTAGCAGTCTAGTACTTATCCTACAGTGCTACATCAGGGCTCCTACTCCTTAGTCCCACCTTAACCCGTACTCTTTAGTTCCACCATAATCCATGTTGTTGTTGTTGTGATGTACCGTGGAGTTGGTTCTGACTCATAGTAACCCTGTACAGGGTTTCTGAGGCTGTAAATCTTTATGGGAGCAGAACGCCTCATCTTTCTCCTGTAGAACAGCTGCTAGTTTCGAACTGCTGACCTTGTGGTTCGCAGCCTGATTCATAACCACTACGCTACCAGAGCTCCTTAATCCATAGTCTCACCTTAATCCTGATTTATTAGCAACTCACTTCAAAATACATCCATAATCACTGGCAGGCAGGGTAGAGTTTACAGCACATCACAGTGTGGACTAATACTTGGTTAGAAGGGCCATAAAGAAATAATTAGCTGCTCTCCTTGCCAACCCCTGACTCTTCTATCCATTTACTCTGAAAAAACTTTAGTGAGAAAAATGTATTCCCTTGTTCTGAGTCTCTCTTGAGGTAATAGCAAATTGTTAGCATCTCCCTGTTGTACAGCCCATTATTTATTCCTTTACCTTCAGGTATTCTTTATACTTCCTCCCATTTGTCATTAGTTTTTACTCAAAACTTTTCCACCTTGGGAAGAGACATCAGGTTTGTCCAGATTTCTGGTAGCAGGACCAGTTTAGCAAGTGCTTCCCCCTCAGTGCACTCCCATTCATGTTTGGTAGGGTTATATAAGTACAATTTCAGCCAATAGGCAATACAGTGTATTAACTGTCCACCCCAATTTTGTCAGGTGAGGGTAATGTACAGTCCATCCCATCAGGTCCTGGGAAGTTTGGACATGTAGGTTTAAGGGTATAGGTAGGTACAGTCCCTCCCATCGGTTCTGGGAAGTTTGGACATGCAGGTTTAAGGGTATAGGTAGGTACAGTCCCTCCCATCGGTCCTGGGAAGTTTGGACATGCAGGTTTAAGGGTATAGGTAGGTACAGTCCATCCCATTGGTCCTGGGAAGTTTGGACATGCAGGTTTAAGGGTATAGGTAGATACAGTCTCTTACTCAGATGCCACCACTGCTTCTGGCTCTCACAGCTGCATTCCTTGGCCTGGTATTAGAGCATCTGTCAGCTAAATACTGCCTATTCGGATTCTTTTTGTGTTTGCAATTAGTACTATCATGTTGTTGGATGATATTATTGAAGGATGATATTACTAAGTAGGAGTCCTGGTGTGGCGCTGTATGATAAGCACTGTACCATAAGGTCGGTTTGAACTTCAAGGTCAGAGGTTCAGACCCACCAACCACTCCTCAGAAACTCTATGCAGGGTTGCTCTGAGTCAGAACTGACTCAACGGCACTTGACAACAACAGCAAATTGTTAAGTAAGCACAATGATTGTGCTTACATATTTACAAACTTGGCCCTAATATGAAAGTTAGCTTGGGTTTAGTAAACTTTAAAATATTTGTATATGTAAAGATTTAAGGGTATTTTTACCAGCAGAACTAGCCACTATTGGCCTAGGGGCTCAGGACTACAGTCTCAGGAAACACCATGGTCAATTGGCATAACATAGTCCACAAAGACAGTGTACTGCAATCTACTTTGGTGAGTAGCAAGTGAGATCTTAAAAGCTCATAAGCAGCCATCAAAAGTGCAACTGTTGGTCTTTCCATGTGTGAAAGAAAGAAGAGTGATGCAAGTTGAAGATGCTTGGAATCGGTTAGTCCAGTGGACTAATGGAACTCGTGAACATCAGTCTCTGTGTCTCTTAGACCAGAAAAACTAGATGATGCCTGGTGAGGAACCTGAGACTGTGGCCCTTGGCCACCCTTCGGGTATAGAATGGAACTCACACTTGTGAACCAATCCAAGCAGTAGATCCATATATGGGGCAACAACAGCACTATGGAGTAGTCAGGCATTCAAGATCAAAAGGGCAACACTTGCTTAAGGACAAGGGTCAGAAGGATTGGGAAGGAGTGTGAAATGGAAATAAGAACCCCAGGAAGTGGAGCAACTGTTGTTACATGGAAGGGATTGCTATCATTGAGATGAAACAAGGTATGAATTATTGAATGTGAAAATGATGATCGGCTTTGTAAATCTTCACTCAATTCACAATAAAAAGTTTCCCGCCAAAAGCATAAAAACGAACCTCTTCTTAGGGACTTTTATGGATTTCATTTTAGAGCACTATATTTTGTTGCTTTGATTACAGCTTACTGAAGTGAGTCCTGGTGTGGCATGGTAG